GAGGCTCTGCAGGGCCTTGGGAGCCAAGTTTGTGTCACGGTCACCGTACAGGATCAGGGTGGGCGTCTTGGTAAGGGGAGAGAAAAAAACAGAGGGGTCATCAGAGGGGGAAATGGCCACCCCGCTTCTCCTGGGCTGTGACCACCTCCATCTGTTACCACGGGGGGGCTGCAAAGCTGAGGGAAGGCAGGTGACAGCCCCTGCACGAGCTGGGCGGGGCACAGGACCAGCTCACTCACCCCAAAACACAGCCACCCTCCATGCCACCCTCCAGCCAGCTTGCCCATGAGGTTCACCAGCACCCAGGAACCCTCCAGGAGTCCAACAACCCACCTCACCTGGACCTGCCGGTACTGCTCAGCAGCGTAGTCCTTGGTGCCCACGGGCGCAACAGGCACAAAGCCAGCCAGCCGGTCCCCCCGCGCCAGGAGGAAGGGCAGGGCAAATCGGCCGCTCATGGAGGGGCTGACGAGAACGGGCATCCGCATGCCCAGCTCCTGGAGAACATGATCCAGAAAATCCACCCGGCCCTGCGCCGTGGCCACCGTCTCTGCTGGGGGTGAATCCCCATAGCCTGGCGTGGGGCAGAGAGCACAGGGTGGGCACCGGGCAGGGGGGACTGTGCAGCCTGCAATGGTCTCTCCCCACTGAGGCTCATCTGGCTTAGCAAAAAAAGGGCACCCGATCAAGCCCCAGCAGTTGTACAGCCACGGCCGTGCGCCAGCCAGACCGAGCCGACCCCAGCCAAAGGGTTTGTATGGCCATGGAGGTCAATGACCTGGGGCAAAGCCAAATCCCAGGCACACTGCCCCAGGGACCACCACTAGCTGCCTAAAGAGGTCCAGAGCCCAGTGGTGGCCGAGGTGAGGGACTGGAGCTGCCCAGAGGGACCAACTTAGAGCATGGTGCCATGGTCCTACCAGGCAGATCTATTGCAACCGCGCGGTAGCCTTCTCCGGCGAGCAGCGCCAGCGTGCCCAAGGCCTCCCACGTCTTGGAGGTGAACGCCTGGCCATGCAGGAACAGGACATCGGGCCTGCGGCGGGGAAGACAGGCAGGAAGGGGTTCAGGGAAGATGCCGTGTCTGCAGACATCCAGCGGCCACAAGGGCTGGTGAAGACTGATCCCCAGGGCCTGTCACCCCCCACCTTCCTCCGCCATGGGAGACGGCGGGCTGACACACCTCCCGGGGCTGGCGGTGCCACTGGCCTGGGGCTCTGCAGAAACCTCCCTGTAGAAGACGGGGGGCTCTCCCGCAGCCATTCCTGTTCGTGCAGTGGCATTGGTCGCCCGCTGGCCCTGCTTCCCCTCGTCAGGCCGGG